TCGATTTTTTTTCACCGAGTTATTCAACATTGAAGCAAAAAGGATCATTTTTGCTTTAATGTTGAATAACTCGGTGAAAAAAAATCGTACAGCGCTCCAAAAAAAAGCAAATTAAAGGTAAAGATTCACTCTTTCGAAAGCTGTAAACTGCATTTGCATGCGATTTTTTATTCGCGCCATGGAACTTGTCAAAGTTCGTAAAAAATTTTGAGATTCGTCGGGTCTCCCTTTCTATCCCTGTAATTTCATGAAAGATCAGTAGGATCGTTTTCTCAAGTACTGATTTGGAAAGTAGAGATTTCAAGCTGTAAAATGCTTTTTTGAACATCTCGATACGATCATTTTTGACGAAGTTATATTCTCTTGAATTTTGCCTATTTTTGGAGGGTAGAGTAAGTGATGCTTTAATTTTGTTGAGAAGTGTATATATATAATATATATAACATGCTATTAAGGATTTAAATATTCCTTTAATTATGTTTAAATTTTTAAACTTATAAATTTTTCAGATCGATAAATACTAATCTAATGTTAAAAAAAATCAAAGTTAAAAAAATCATTTATAAAAGTTATTTCAAAAATTCAAATATTTTTAAATTTTGACTTCTATGATTCCATTATTTTAAATTTGTCAATTTTAACATCAAATAGCATTTAATAATTTGAAATTCTTAAGTACAAATAACATAATTAAAAAATATTTGGATTCTTAAAATGTCATGTCGCTCATACTACAACGCAAAAATGATAATATTTTAGTTGCAGAAAAAAACAAAAACGTAAACAAAAAAAAGAAAAAAACATATTTAAAAAAAACACTTCTTATTCCTCTGTAATTATAGTTATTACATTATAATTTTAAAATTAATATACATAATTTTAATGATTTAAAATAAATTCATTTTCTGAAAAACTTTGTTTTTTTAGTTATGTCGTTGTGACAAATGAGTCATATAGTATGTAATCGCAATTTTGACACAATAAATCCTACATTAATCATAAATATTTTTTTAACCATGATTGACACAATAAATTCTTTTTAATAGCTACTAGTCTTAACAATATATATTTAATTTTGATTGTAATAAAGCTTGTTTAACTAGTTATTAATAATTGTAATAATTTAGAGAAATAGGCTCCCGAGAATAAATCAAACATTAAAGTAGAGACCTATGGAACCCAACACGGAAGTTGGTGTGTAATAGAAGATAAATAAAAAATTATCACATCCGTATTGGTGTGTGATAATTTTTTATTTATCTCTCATAGGCCTCTACTTTAATATGTTTGATTTAATAATTGTAATTATAATATTTAAAAATATATATGACAAGATGTCATTTAATTGTTGGACAATGTTAATTATAAGCAGAATTTTGTATTGAATTTTGAAACAGGTTACAAACCGTTCGAAGGTTAGCGCTAAATAAAATCAAATATTTGTAAAACATAATGCAATTCATTCGCAGAGATTAGTGGAGAGTGCCGAGCAGGCCGCAGTATCGGCGCCGAGGGAAGGAAACGTGTCGCCCAAGTATTACGCCTCGCATCGGCTTAATAACTTCGTTAGCGATGAAAAGGGCCCTGCGCAAGAGGTATCTCTCGTTGCGAATCGCCACTTCGATCATCTAGCAGTGAATGTTAGTTTTTCTGCCGTGCTCCTACCAAACGGAGTTAAAGACATTGGTGAGCATCATGATAAATAGCTTCGATGAATTTAACAAGATGTCAATCGATAAATACAGATGTCTGTGAATCAAAGATCTGCATCCCTTTCATTGTTTCGTAATTTAAAATGAGAAAAGATTATCATCTTCGTAGTTTAAATGAAGAAAGATGACTCATTATATCCACGGCAAATTGACTCTTTACTTGCAGAACGTGACGTTGCCTCGGGTATTCAATGGAGCGAGTACTTGGATCTACTATTTGTTAATAATTACGAGAGTGACCCTACGCTATCGTGGCAATATTATGGAGCGACAACAGGATTTCTACGTCGTTTCCCAGGTATTTAAACGAATTTATTTATTTGTGTGTGTGCGTGCGCGCGCGCGCGCACACTACTTTTTTTACACCATTATAAATATATATGTACATTAAAAAAATATATATTACAAAAATATATTAAAAACATGAACTTTAATATTTATATATGACTATTAATATTTATACATCTATATTAATATATCTATTTTTATAATATACAGTTATAGATATTACTTTTACACACAGTACTAATAATATCAATATATATGTACATATCTACATCATAAAATTATATAACGCTACAAATCGCATATTTTTCCTTAAATGTAATTAAATAATTTTGTATTATACAGTAGAATTATTTTTTTTCTTTATATATAAAAACATTAAAGCAAGATTATCAAAAAATATTTTATTAAATATTTTACATGTTGAATCAAAATAAATATCAGAACAAATGATGTAATTAATATATAATATTTCATAGATTTTATTGATTTTTTTGATGATTCGACTTTATACTTTTACAGAATGACTGGAAAGAAATTTATCTTTATCTTTATAAAAAAAATAATTTATCTTTATAAAGAAATTAATCTTTAATTATGAATAAATTACGTGCTAAAAATTATTAAAATAATTTCTAATATTATTTAATATTTAATGAAAAAAAAACATATTTTTATATTTCTTCTACGAAGTTTTAAAATTTTTATTTAAAACATTAATTTTTAAAAAATGAGCTTAAATATGCTTTTACATATCTTTTTACAAGAATTTTGTTAAACCCTTTGCGTCACGATGGGATGCTCAATGATCTATCTTTTTTCGCTTAGTTTTTAATTAATTATTTTGATGAATTTTTTGGTTAAATACCGGTTTTTTTTTCGTTTTCGTAGAATCCCTAAAACATGAATAAATGTTTTAAAAAAGTAGGCCATACATTTTTATTTGCGTTACTATAATTAAACAAGTAGTCAAAATTTATGTTTTTTTTTTAATGCATTTTCTACTAAACTATTATCAATTACAACTTTTATCAATATCAAATCATTTAGACACTGATCACTTATAAAATTCTAAACTATTTTTCAGAATTTTTCCAGATTTTTTCATTCTTTTTTTAATTATAAATTGATAATCTTTGAAAAATATGAAAAAATCAATATTTTTTACTATAAATCCAAATAAAATTTAAATATCTCTTAAAATAATAAGTATTTTAGAGGTTTTTTAGATCACTGTAGAATCCTAATCTAAGGTTAAAATTTCTAAATTAAATCCAAAATAGCGGAATTATAGTATAATGAATAAGAAACGAAAAAAATTGAATTTTAAAATTTTAACTTCTGATTCGTAATCAGCGATTCGAAAAATCACCAGGTACAAAATTTCCGACAAATCAACCTGATATAAAAATTCGTGATATAAAAGGTTAAAATCGTGCAAAAGTTATTACATATTTGTAATATTTGTATGTTTCAGCGATATCATGGCCGCCGATGGAGGGTACACCTGGAGCGCCCAAGCCCTCACATCATCGGGCCGTTCGTGATGTGTATGACTTTAGGATGTCGAACTGGTTCGTTGGGGCGGCAAACAGCCCGAAGGATCTAGCGATATTGATCGATAGCGCGACGTACACGTCCGACAGAAATCGACGATTAACGATAGCCACGACGAAGATCGTCTTGGACACCCTAGGACCAGACGATTATGTGAATGTATATCGTTACGGCGAGAATGCCGAAGAAATCGTGCAGTGCTTCAAGGATAGTCTGGTGCAGGCGTCGCCCGAAAACATTCACGAGATGAAGGTAGCCTTGAGCTCCATGAAGCACGAGGACACTGCGACCAACATCTCAGCCGCGCTTAGCACCGCCTTTGAGATCCTTCACAAATACAATCGCACCAGTCAGGGAAGCCAATGCAACCAGGCAATTATGCTTATCACTTCCGACACTGACGGCCCACCCACGGAAGTGATAAAGCGTTACAATTGGCCGCACATGCCCGTACGAGTCTTTACCTATCTCATCGGTGGTGACAAAAGCCTCGATCTCCAAAACACAGCCTGCACTAATAAAGGTATCGTTATTCATTGATATGCTTCAGCTTATAAATATACAGAATGTCTCGTAACTAATAGTGTTAGCAAAAAAGGGACGATTGAGAAAAGAGATAAAATGTAGAACGAAGTTTTATGTTTTATACGAGATTTTGTTTTCGAGAAAATTTTGAAAATTGGAACATTAAAGTTTGTTTTTTTTTTACATTTTTTTACACTTTGAATTATTTATAAGAATTTCTTATACTATAAACCAGTACATTTGTTTTGCTATCAAAGTTATATGAAAAAAAAACACTATTTTATTAAAAAGTTAAAAGTGATATACATATATTGATATATAAGATGTTTTCAGAAAGTAGCGACAAACTTAAAAGAGTAATAAATAAATCAAACTTTTGTTAAATGAATGTCGCGTTTCCTAAGGTTATCCTTAAAGCATCAGTTTAATATAAAATCTTGTTATACTGCTTAATTTCTATAAGGATAGACTAAAATAAAAACATGTTTTCTTTAATTTTTTTTTATTGTAATAAGTGTTCAAAATGATACCTTTACTTTATATTAAACATTACATTTATGATGCATTGATTGACGCATTTCTTTGAAAAATTCCAGAAGTTTACGATTCACATTACATGCGTTAATTATTCTGTTAATAAATACATTTCGAGTGTCGACAAAGACCATATACATATACTAAACTTTTGATATGTCCGCGTAAGAAAAATATTAAAGCACATTTTAGTAAAAAATTCTCATAGTAATATCAATATTTTTAAGAATTTTTCATATTTTAAATTTAAGGTTATCGCATCAGTCAATGAACAAATAAGAAACTCACGATGTACACAAGGCGTCACAAATGCCTACTCATCTGAAATTGCAGGGACACATATACATATATATTATTGTATATACATATATGTAATACACATACATGGGTTAGTATCCCTGCAAGTTCAGATGAGTAGGCATTTGTGACGCCTTGTGTACATATAAATAACAAAAAAAAACAAAGCCTTTTAATACTAGCAACTGTTTATTCATTCTTTAAAAATGTCATATGTTAAAAAATAAAAAAAAAAGGAATAGTTGTCGATTAAAAAAATGAAAATACGCCAGAAAACTGATAAGCTTCAATTAATGATTGACGCATACTATTATAATAAATGATCAGTATGTAACTTTTCTTTTAATAAGAAAAAGATTATATATTTTTCGTAAATATACATATACTTTTTTTACTACATATATTTCATTTTGGTTATAATCTGTTATAAGATACTTTTATATTACAAGTATAAGGTACAATATTTTTTTTTACTTAATATAATTACATTTTCAAGTAAAAAAATAATATTTTAATCAAATCTGTACGAAAAATTAAATCTAAAAATATCAATTACTTTGCATTTTATTATTTTAAAGTCTTATTTTAATATTTTTTTAGAATCATTATTTACTCATGATTTTCAGCGACTGGTGCAGTAATCTTATAAAGATTTCTGAAAGATGCGTTCTTTTATAAATTTTTTTATAAGGAAATCATACAAAATAAAAAATCGTCGAATATTTTAGAATTCACGTATATAAAAAATTCGAGAAAAAATGTAGACTTTCTCAGTATTTTTGAAAAGTATTCCAATTTGTATAAAAAAATTTGGTAAATTTTTTAATTAATTATAAAATTATACAGAAATTCTGAAAAATTCAGAAGTTTCTACAGAAATATTTTGAAAAATTACATCAACAATTTTAAGAAAAAACTTTTTGATAGGGTGCTAGTTGGAAATTAATGTCAGTAAGGAGAAATTAAAGAGAAAACGTCGCCAAATATACTACTTAACAAAACAACTTCGAGAGCGCTTTTTCGCGGTCACGGCTGGATCTTAGATACCTAATAAATTCTATATGAATTTTTCTTAACTCCATGTACAGCCGCTAAACTACGCGCCGATTAAATCGGACTTGAAACGCAATTATTAGTTGAGACTATAATAGAAATATTATATTGATCTTTCTAATCAATCGATGCTTATAAGCATCTTAAAATACTGAAAAGAACTTATTGCGAAAAATATACCTCAGCCAGGATTTGTACCTGGGATTTCCCGACTTTTCGGGGCGGACATCTTAACCAACTCGACCACCAAGGCATATGATAATATTTATGCAATAACCTGTATATCTATTAAATGAGAACGTATGCTAAGAGGCACGTGTGTTAAATAATAATTATAATTTGAATAATTTTAATTAGGTATCTAATTTATCAGGTATCTAAGATCTAGCCGTGACCGCGAAAAGGTGCTCTCGAAGTTAGTTGTGTTATTCACTATTCAAATTATAATTATTACTTAACAAAAATTATTTAGTCTTACAAAATCTTTCAGCCTTTTAAGTTTGTCAACACTTTTCGGAAATATCGTAGCTGTATTTTACATCAATTATTTAAGTAGTTACTAAAAATGGAATGTTATATTATTTTAATTACTCGTTTTATTTATATGTATATCACTATTCATCACTGTTAATAGTGATCACTATTAGGCTGACACAAAGTTATTAAAAACATATTCAAGGCATTTTAAGAAAATAAGGAAAGCCTAAACATTAATTTTTTAAAATAATTTAGAGAAATAGGCTCACTAGAATATATCAAACATATTAAAGTAGAGGCCGTATGCGAGCCAACACGGATGGTGTGTAATAATTTTTTACAATATCTAACCACACGTAAACTGCGCGCCGCATATTCGTCGGTCTTGAAACACAGTTCATTATATGAGGTCGAAATAACTTTAACAAATTAAATCGATTAACGATTTAATCTTTTTGATGCTATACGCATCTATATATAAGAATTCCCTTTCCCCCCGAATCTGTAAAGAATTTTATTGCGAAAAAAATCACTTCAGCTCTCAGCCAATTATTACACACTATCATCCGTGTTGGCCCGTATCATACGGCCTCTATTTAATGTGTTTAATTTTTTTTAATTTCAAAATCACTTATCCGGAAAATCTTGAAAAATTTTGTTTTATCCTTTTTTTATTTTTTATCATGTGAGATTTGTTACTCTTTCCCTCTTATTTTTTCTGTTGCATCTTTAGTTACGAGACACTGCAAATTCGCGATTATAATTTAAAAGATATCGAAGTTATCATTTTTATTCAAATTTATTATTTTATATAAAATCTAATTGGAAACATAGTATTAAAAGACTGTAGGAGTAACAAACCAATCCAAGTTTAAAAACTAATTAGACACGTAGTATTAAGGAGTTATAGGAGTAACAAACCGACAAATAGAATACTTGTCAACGCTACATAAAATTTTTATTTAAACATATAGGCCCGTAATCGGAATAATGCTATGTTATATATACCATGGTGTAAGAATACACCATGATATATACTAGATAGAATTTCAGAGATGAAAGCACGCATTTACCGATAAAAGCACGTTTTGAATACAAACAAATTGTGCTTGTTGTTATAACTTAAGAAGAAAAATTAAAAGGAAAAAAAAGCTTCCGTGAATCTATGCAAAATATTACTAAAAGTGTTACTTTAAAACAAATTATAGAAAAACGTCGTATAGGGATTGGAGATTTTATTGTTAGTGCCTAATAGTATTTCTTTGTAAATCTTTACATTTTCCAGTTAAATTGATACTCAATTTAATAATAATGATAATAATAAGCATTTAAAAACAAGGAACTTATTGCAAAAAAATTAGAAAGAATTCAAATCTGGACCTTCTAATTATTATCTGGGATAAACACCTTTACCGAATTTGAATGTGTTTCAGTAGTCGCTTATATAGAAATATTATTGAGCACTATAAGATTGCAATCGTATATCGCTTTTCTATTTATTTATGTTATTTATATATCAGTCTAGTTTCATTTATTGTTACTTTAAAATTTCAAATTGATCGGATAAATCGTATTTGTTATCGTGGCCATTTTACAGTTTTGAAATAAAAATTTTGTAATTTTTTAAATAATTTATTTACAATTATTTATCTATACCAGTTTTATTTTTATGGCTTAAAACTATAGTAAAAAATAAAAAATAATTTTTCGATTTTTTTAAATTCTAAAGTCTTCTAACCTCTTATGGTGATGCTGGAGTGATAATCAAACTCCATAATATCGCTGTTTTATCGACGATTTGTGCATGTATATGTGCATGCGATATTGATGGTGCGTAAATGTTTACGTCTATAATGTGATGATGTTTATTACTACATCGATGTTGCACGTGCATACATATACTTACAATATTTTCAAATCATCCATTCTCTTATACAAAGCACCTATGGTATCTAGGTTTATCAGTAAAGCACAGTACTATTCTTTCATGTAATCCCCACACCGACTACTTCTTGTCTCATAAATACAAAGTCTAAAACTTTTATACGCAACACATAGGTACTGTCGCGAGTCGACTGCAGAAGCCGATAATTTTCTAATTTTTTCCGTTTTTGATATCAAAATGTGTATTAACCACACTCTATTATTGTTAATACTTTAATTCTGGAAAAGGATTTATAATTATGTAAAAATAACGGATGATTTAAAAATAATCACGTTCTATCGGTAAAATAAACCTATGTTCAGCATCGCCTTAAGTATTAAGAATTAAAAGTGAAGTAGTCTTAAAAAAATTTAATACTGTAAATATTAAATTGGCTAATTAATTACTTATTTTGAGTATTAGAAGCAACAACTAGTACATTCTTTTAAATAAAATTTTTCTAAAGATATATTTAATAAAGATTGAGAGATAAGATTTATATCAAGTGATTTTAATATCAAATATTTAAGAAACGAATCTTTTGTGCAATTTCATGTTGACAATATCGATCTTTATAGGATTTTACGCAAGAATAACGAATGCGGACGAAATCCATAATAAAGTTTTCGAGTACGTGAAGGTTTTAGCGCGACCTATGGTACTTTATCAACATGATCATCCTCTTCACTGGAGTCCCGCTTACGTAGGTGGAAAAGTAAGCAATTTAATTCACACACATAAATAATTATTATATTAATTTATTAGTTCATACTTTGCGGAACGTTTTTGTAAATATCAATAGTTTCCTATTGTCACATGTGCCACATAATATTTTGCGATGTTTTTACATTAATAACAATTGACCTTCAGAGTAGTAGATTCGGCAAAGAAAATCGAGGCCAGTTGATGACGTCTGTGACAGCTCCGATTTTAGATCGCCGAAATTATACGGTAATTATATTTTAAAAACAATTATGGTGTGAGGATGCCTTAATATTGCACGAACGTCACTTTAATGTTAGATGTGTATATAAAGTATTGTAATATGCAAATAAATTGTACTTCACTATATGTTATCATTCTAAGGTGAAAACGGCTAATTTATTGGGTATTGTCGGAACCGATGTACCTGTCGAGGAGATTCAGAAACTCGTGCCGCCTTACAAGGTACAAATTGATTCTTCATTATTATTCGGCCTGGTTGCATTAATAGTTTGGCTTCAGAAAGTCTCAGCTCTTTGTAAGACCTCTATTACAGAAATTCTGAAAGTTAGTGATTAATTACTTGTTTTGAGTATTATAGACATTGTTATTCAGCGCTTTTAATATTCAAAATAAGTAATTTCTAGTTAAATAGGACAATATTAAATTGGTTTTCTGTAAGGAGTACCTTTTTATTGAGTTTTATAGAATTTTATTTTGAATGTAGATGAAAACAAAAAATGAATTTACGAACAATATAACGACAAGCTCGTCAATATAAAAAAAACAATCAGAAATAAATTAGGCCAGACTAACAAGCATAAAAACCGATGACAGCGTTTATTAATACTAAAACACACTAAATCAATAAAAATAATCAAATACACGAAATACATATTTCAACTTTAATTAGTTTTCTTCAGCCGCATTATAAATTAATTAATTAATATATAGAAAATGGAGATCGTATAGTCAGTATAAAGTTAAAATTAGTAAAAGCAATCATAAAATAATACGAAAGGAACCGTTGATGGAATTGTGGTGTTGTTCAAATTAATTGTTCTGATATGGTCTCTTTGTCCAGTATCTAAAAAGTCCCAACGGAGTGAAAAATCAGTTGATAAAAATGAATTATGAAATTTTTTCTTTTCCGATTGTCCAAACATAATACATAGGTATATAGTCAAAGTAATAAAAGTAATATAGCTGTTGATATAAAATTCACAAATAATGAATCGTCTATTGACCATGACATTTTTCTTTGTTTTTATATGAAAAATGTATACTTTATATTGACTATGCGATCTTCGTTTTTTATATATTAATTAACTAATTTACAATGCGGCTGAAGAAAACTAAGTTAAGTTGAAACATGTTCCACATATTTTTCTTGATTTAGTGTGTTATAGTATTAATAAACGCTGTCATCGTTTTTTATCGTTAGTCTGGCCTAATTTATTTCTGAAAAAATGAATCCAATAAAATAAAAAATTTTTTATTTTTAGAAGAATAACCAGCGTATTGGAGAAAAAATCTTTACTTAATTAGAATTAGCCATCAAATTAGTACAACCGGCCTTTATTTACATATTTTACACGTTAACTGTTAGTGTCATAATATATGTATTAACAATATGTTTCTCACATTACAGTTAGGAGTTAATGGATATTCGTTTATTGTTGACAATAATGGCAGAGTTCTGTATCATCCTGACTTGCGGCTTCTCGTGAGTATTGATGCCATCACGACAAATAATAACGTGTTCAAATAGCCTCACGAATGTATAATTTTATTAATTTTTTCGATAAATATCTAGAAAAACTTATGTAGCATGAATTTTTTTTGACTTTGACATTGTTGAAGAGGGCACATTGAGTAATATGCGTTTCAAATTAGACTACGCTTTCTTATAGTTTCTGAAATATTTTTTGAAGATGAAATTAAAAATAAAATCGAAAGTTGTAGAACGTCTTACATTAGAATGTTATTTTCTTATTCGTGTTAATTATAAGCACTTACTGTTGGTATATACTATACGTACAAGTACTTAATATTACAAAGTAAATGCATTCCACCCTTTCTTCCGAAAAAATTTTACCTATAACCCCAATTTATTTCTGATTTTAAATTTAAATTAATAAGTCTGAGTTAAATTTAAATTTTTGCAAAAAGTTTGGAGTCTCTTCCGCCAACGTATATACTTTTTGGAATAAATATTTAAATAGTTGTTTAGCGTTTATAAATAACACATATCGCGCGCGCAAATTTCCGAAGACATGTTTTTTATTTTGTCGTGTATATTCTTTTTCTTTTTTTATGATCTGTTCTAAAATACGTCGTATGTTGGGTCGTAAGCCGTAAGAAGCCGTACTGATCAGTCACGATCGAATGTTCTTCTTGCATTCGACTGTGATTGGTCAATTCTTACGGCTTATGACTTACGACTCAACATACAACATATTGTAGAAACGAGCCTAATCTCTAATATATATGTATTTGTTACGCCAAAATGTTGCGCTCGGACGTCGAGTTAACCACTCGCGTGCCGCACTCTCACTGCACTCGCGCACTTCCGACCGAAATAAGGAGACGAGAGGAGTTGAAATTGAGAACTCTCTTTAATAAGAACAGGACTCGTCGTGAAATTCACAAATTATGTTGAAACAAACGCACGCCTTGTCGTCCGGAGAACGCTTCGCAGCTTTCTGGGCTAAAGCTTCATGCACAAACGGGCCGGCTCAGCCGAGGGTGTAACTATATAAATATATATATATATATATATATATATATATATATATAAACAATAAATACATAAGAGAAAATTTTGGAATTGATTAAAACGCATATTATTCAGGAATGAATTCTCTAAATATGTCAGGGTTGAGATAATTCCTACTGTGTAAGTTTTTTTAAATATTTATTCTTTTTCATCCTAACATATAGTTCATTTGCTAAAACAACGACATAATTCAAAAATTATTATTTTTTAATTGCTTGCAAAAAAAATAAGAACATAAAAAAAGAAAATATACTTTAGAAGTACATACATACTGTTAAGTCCAATGACCGTCATTCTCGTTCGATCTCGCGAATTTACATACTTTTGTTTTTCTATCAAATTAATTATTCTATCAAAATTTTATTTCAAAATTAATATTACAAAATTTTAATGATTCAAAATATTTCAATTTATTTTTTTTTTTTTAAACAGTTTTTTTTAGTTGTATAGCTAATAAGTAATATAAAATAAATAAATTTTTAAACAATCTCCTAGTTTGACAAAATTAAAAGTTAATAAAAAAAACTTATTGGTTTTTCCTTTTCTTTTTTCTTTCCCTTTTTATCTTTTTTATTTTTTTATTTATTGTAAAGAGAGACATGAATAATATAATATTATATGAATATTTTACGCAGCCTGGAAACACAGAAGTAAGTAAGAGTCATTATATACATGTACTCTACCATTAAATGTATAAAGAGTGACATAAGGCGATTATTAGCATTTCTTATTTTTAATAATTTTTTTATTTTTGACACTATTGATGTTAGCGTAATTTTTTTTTTTTTAATTGAAAGTATTATTTTTGTATTAGTAAACCTTGCTTTTGTTTACACACTTTTAAACAATTAGTTCTTAATCAATAAATTGAATTAAAAGAAATAAATTTTCTCTGTAAAATTCTCTTTTTTTTTAGTTGGTCAATAATAAAACGAATGAATAATAGTTCGAGTTCCAGAGTTTGTTTTTATCCTAGGAATTGGTTTTATATTTCTGTGTTTATTATGAATTTGGACAGAAAATAACATACATATGAGATTCTTTATTGTATTGCCAAAGTATAATTTTTTGAATTTTCGAATCTCGGATCTTTTCTCGTTGAATTAAATATTTTTAAAAATTTCCTTCATTAACTTCTAAACACAATTTTATATAATACTGATGCGCCTACGCGGTGCACACATATACACACAACAGAGAGAGAAAAGGTAATGTTCTATTTGAAGGAATTTACAAAATTATACTTTCTTTTTCAGTACGATGAGACATTAAAACCTTCGTACATAAGTGTAGATCTATCGGAAGTTGAACTCGCAGAATATGATGGCCCTTCGGCCCCCCCGAACAATTCGCTCCTGCTCGATGTAAGTGCGATATTTTCATTATATTATCATTTTTTAAATAACTTTAATTTAACGTTACAATAGCGATATTGATAATATTCTTTTTAGCTAAGACGCGACATGATCGATCAAAAGGAAGGAGAAACAGACTTTACAATCAAAATACATTATGATGATATGGTAAGAAATTACTATTATTAAAAAAAGCAATTATAAGCCTCTGATAGAAAAATTTTACTGAAAGAGTAGTGGCAAAAAGACCTGTTTTTTCGCCCATTTTTTGGACCTCAAATTTCAAACTTTTTTAATGTCAAATAGTACTTTATGATGTAACATTAATCCTAGAGAAATTTTAAAATGAGCATAGCACGGTTCCGGAGATATGAAGGGGCGAAAATAATGATTTCTCATAACCCATGAAATTACACGAAACTCTTCAAGTGTCCATACCAAGGAATAAAATATATATTTAACGAAGTGAAACATGTCGTTTCTTATGGATTTTTTACACCGAATAAAAAAATATAGGTATATATATACATAAAATAACGAATATTTCTAGATTTTCGATTGAAAAAAAGATTGACTAAATGTTATCATATTCCTATTTTAAGTACATTAATATTATCCTTAAAAGCTGCACTATATAATTTCATTAAAATCCTTATTTTTCCTTTTTTTTTAAAAAAGGATATTCATAACAATTATCAGGTAATTTTTTGTTTTCGGCGATAACGATTATCGAATGATTTTTAAATACTGATTGCTACATAACGATTATGAGCTGATTTAATCGTTATCAGTCACCAATAACGATTATTAGGTGACGCATATCATATCGATTCTATTATAAGGTGAGATGATATATATATATATATATATATATATATATATATATATTATATAAGTTTGAAATTCGAGATCCAAAAAAATGGGCGAAATTTGCCATCACTCTTTCACTAAAATTTTGCTGCAATTCCTCTAAAAGTGATTTTTTTAGCAAAAATAATAAAAAGCCGCTGAAGTTGAACTAAAATCTTCCCGCAAATTTTATCGAAAATTTTTCTGAAAGTTTGTTGACATTTCTCTGAAAATACGCTAAATTTCTCCGAAAGTACGCTAAAAATCCTGAAAGACTTATGCCGAAATTATCCTCAAAAGAGTTCATGCATTTTAGGCGATTTGGGAAGCATGCGAGGAACGTTGGGTTCACCTTTTTTCTTACTCAATTTCACTTACTGAATTCGAAAATCGTAGTTAAAGTTGTTCTAGTATTCGGGAAATATATATATTTTTCATTTTAAACAGAAAAAAACAACGGTTGATTTTACTTTGTTGAGCTATGTCATGCGTATTTCTTTTTGTTTTTATAAAAATATGTTTCGATGTTACCTAAGCCCTTATCCTTTCTCATCAGGATTTGAGAATCTGTAAATTACCTTAAGTTATGTATACATTTCAACTTTTGCATCGAAATATCTCGAAAAGTATAAAAGATGTGAAAAAATGTTTCAAGTAAAAGTTATACTGTCTAAAGGGGGGTAAATGGTAAAAATAATTTTCGAAAAAAATCAATCAAAAGTGGTTCAAATAAAAGATCTCATCCATCTAGCTATAAAAAGCTATAAAAAAAATTCTAGCTTAGAGCGACTCACCGTTTCAGAAAAAATAGCTCCTAAAAGTCTGAAAACCGATAGACGCTACTTTTATTTATATGGCTTTTAAGATTTTGATCGTGCTTTGTTCCAAAAATTAATTTTAACAAAATATATTTAAATTGGTGTTGTCAAAGGTTTCAAACTTAACTAAAACCGGATCTCAAGAGACCCCACATCAGGGCAAAAAGTGAACATTCAATTCGTTCATTGAATTCATTGCAATGTTCATAAACACTGACTTCATTGAATTCACTTCAGAATCTCGAATCAAGAAATGATAAAAGACATTTACAATAAACACTCGGAAAACTAACTAATTGTAAGAAGATATAGATTTTATTCGATATAGCGATATATTCGATTGATTGTTCACTTTTTGCTCTAATGCTGGATATCTTGAGCAATTCTAGTTAAGTCTGAAACTCTTGGTCCAATTTAAACATATTTTGCTAAAATTAATTTTTGAAACAAGTTAGAGCATGATCAAAGTCCTAAAAGCCATTTATAAACAAAAATCAAAAAATGGTATCGATTTTGGAACTTTCAAGAGCTGTTTTCTTTGAAACGGTGAGTCGCTCTAAGCAGGAATTTTTGTTGTTGGCTTCAGATTAATAAGACCTTTCATTTGATACTACTTTCGAACTGGATTTCAATATATCAAATTTGAAGATAATGAATTACTGGTCTGTGGCATTAGCCTTTCGCTAAAAATAATTTTTAACCAAATTGATAATATGTAATTGCCTGAAGATTTACTACAATTTCTTCAAAAAATTTTCTGAAAAATTTGTTGAAAAGTCTAAAAATTTGATGAAATTTCTTTAATAACACGCTAAAATCCGCGAGTACCGCTGCCAGATAAATGTTATAGAATTCTATTTTATATAAGTAAAAAATCACACAATATAGAATAAAAAATGCAGTTTTATAACAATTTTAACCCATGTTCAAATTGAGTTCCAAGATGAAAGTAAATGAAATGTATTTTGATACAATTTTGTTTGAAAAAATTGATTTAAAAATTAATTTTTGAGAATCTGAATGTATTCGGAAGTCATATTGTGTTTGCTGAAAATATTCGTAAAGACTATACAATTTTATTTTAAATTTAATTAAATTTCATTGAAATTTTGCTCGAAAGTGATCTAAAACATGGAACAATTTTAGCAAAATTTTTAGCGGAATTTCAGCAACTTTGGCAAAATTTTTTTAGAGGCGTAATAATGTACCATATATCGTAAAAATATAATTTTCATTTTATTATGTAACGTTTTGTTGCTTTACAGAAACGAGTTACAATTAGACGGCATAATTATTTTTACAAACCAATCGAGGGTACCCCGTTTTCCTTAGGCTTGGCTCTACCTGAAGGTTATGGCATGTTTGAATTACGAGCCGAGCAAGAAATCAAGCTCGCTATCATAAATGGTAAATTTTTCATTATAATTGGGCACTGTTGTTTAAAATAAAGGAGAGTGAGTGCGTTCTTTTAATAATGCGATTCTTGGATTTTTGAATGCTAACTCATACGTTGCATTGCAGTAACGGAGTATTTTAAGGGGAATAACTGGAAAGTGCATCCCGATTGGGTTTATTGCGAATATAATTCAGCTTCCGATAAGTTCTTTTCCTCCCCGGAAGAACGCGTCCTGCACTTCCTGGCACGGACGCGCAGACCGGGATGGAAATGGATGTCCTTGAGACCAAGGAGTCCTAGCTCGCATCACAAACAGGCGAGCAAGCCGGATAAAGATTCTTATTATTGTGAGTGCATATCGTATTAATTTAATGTCGGATAAATCAAAGATTTGTGGAAAAATAATATATAAGACAAACAGACAAACAAAAATAGGATTAATTAAGGAACCAAATGTGCATTGAGCATTAGTTTCAAATTATTTATTATATTTAAATAATTATATTTTTTGTCAAATGACATATTATAAGATTCTTTAGTATGTTAACTCTAATTGTTATTTATTTATTGTTTATTGACAAAAATGTTGCACATTTTATGGATATTCTCGTATTCACGTCCTTTAGACATGTTACCTTATGTTTCGATTTAAACACGATGCCTATATCTTATTAAAGTCTTTAAGATCTTATTTCTCGATTTTGAACATGCGTTTTGTTTGGGAAGTAAACATTGTTAGAATATATACAATATAATATACAGAATATTTCAAACCATCTGTAATCATTATTTTTTCTCAAAAATGAATAGTGACTGGAAGTTGGAGGACAAATTTTCATATTACCAGAGTCTATCTGAACTATCTATAACGATTTCAGTTTTTTCGAAAACTGCTGAAAAGTAGAATAAACCTAGGGCTGAAATTTTAAATAGGAACATATACATAGATCGAGTGGGATATTGTAAGATAAATTTTTTAAAAACAAATAACTTAAATTTAAATTAAACAAATTATGAAAGGCTCATATCAAATTAT